TGGATTTGATGAAATGGGAACAAAAAAATTCATACATTCAATCTCCCATGGAAGCAAGACACTCATCAAATCAAGCCATGTTGTTTATCACATTTTTTTTTTTAAAAATGGAGCCTCTAACAGTTGAGGAGGAGTTCAATCTCCAATTAAATCACGAAAGACTTTGAATTTTTGTAGAGAAATGCTTGGAACATCATGTTCTTGTATTGATTGTTTTGATATTATTTTATTAATATTTCAAATAATTTTTAGAAGAAAGATGAAGAAAGTGGGGGAAATGGGTTTGGATTTGGGTTTGGGTTAATGAGTATGATTATGAATGAAAGTAGGTCTAATATATGTGGACCAATAAAATAATGCCACACATTTAACTAAAAGATATATATTTGCCACATCAGCATCTGTTAAAGATAAGGGTAATTTTAGGTTTAAATTTGACTCTAAGGGCATTGTTGATCCAAATAGATGGATGACAGGGCATTTTTGATCCAATAAATGGAAGAAGGACATTTTTGACCATTTTCAATAGATTAAGGGCATTTTTGACCCTTTTCCCAAATAAAAACTACGTTACAGTAAGTTTGAAACGAATCAACTATTTGCAAGTAGTCAACAATGGAGGTTGCAGATTTGGAGACGGTACTCAAGACACTTGAATCTGCTTTGTCTCAAATTAAATGGCGCCTCAAACTTTCATCAAAGCGTCGCCTTGAAACAGGTAACTCATTCTATCTTATTCTTGTTTTTATTCTTGCGATTGTATGATGAAAAGGAACTGAAATTTAATTCAGTTTCGAGGTTTTGTATCACATTAATGAGGTTTGTGTACACTTTATTCAAAATAAAAAAAAGGGTTTTTGGCTAATGCATTTGAGGAATATAGTATTGAATTGTGTATCTATCTAACACTCATGCTCAATTTGGTACATACAAATAATATTATCAAGTTTGTTACAAATGTAAATAGTGCAGGACCAATGAGGGAATTGGTGAAAATATCTATAAGCTAATCAATCAACCGACTTCACCAAAATTGTAACAATATCTCCAAAGAGTATATTTTCTCTAATAAAGTAATAGTTAATCTCAATATGTTTAATCTCCTGTGAAATACCGGATTTGATGAGATTGAAGAGCTGCTGGGTTATCTATCACTCGTAAGTTCCATTTCTGACTGATATTCAAATTCTAGTCCTTTGAGCATTGGTTTGGTCCAAGTTAGCTCACAAGTTGTTATAACCATTGCTTGATATTCAACTTCTACACTAGATCGAGCAATTACACTCTGTTTCTTAATCTTCCAAAACACCAAATTAGCTCCTACTAAAACATAATATCCAGATGTAAAATGTCTATCAAAAAATGATCATGTCCTATCATCGTTTGTATATCCAACAATCTATTCATGGCCTTGATCCTCGAACACTAGTGCTTTATTTGGAGTTGACATTATATACCACAGAATGTGAACAGCTACATTCCAATGACCATCACATTATTTTTGGCAAATATCTCAAATTCCCAAATACTAGTTTTAATCTCATTATTTGGGATCTTTTGAAAATTGAAATTTTACACCAAACTTTTATCTTTAAAAAAAAACACCCTCTATAGTAGTTGTTTACATTGTATTACATCGAAGTAGTGATGAAATATTCAGTGAATATGAAAGTGATAATGAAAATGCTGAACAATCGGATCAGGGTGCTTTGTCTACTTCACGATGTGTGGAATGATGCTTGTTGCACTCACTCCAAACTACCACATTGCTCTGGTGTCATGGGCACTACTTGTTACTTGTTGCAACGAAGATCCAATTAACTTGTAATACACACTTATGGTTAAATTTTGATAGTTTTTAAAACTTATAGGTACAAATCATATTTTTACCAAATTTTTACCCAAATAATATTTGCCAAGAATATTTGGAAATCTATGGACAAATGCTAGCTTAATATCCAAATGATGAAAAAACCAAGAATAAAAATATCTATGGATATGAAAAGGCGGAAAAATGTTATTTAAGCCACAAGAGAGAAAGTATCATTGTAATCAAATCCAATATAAAACAATAAGACATAGCACGTGGTGAATAAGTTATACTTACAAGTCACAGGTTCAAACTAGCTTTTATTCAAGTGGAGAAGGATAAAAGGGCAGAACCGTCAACCGCGCGCACTGGTCCTTGGATATTCTTGATTATAGAAGAAGTACTATATAGCTTTCTTTTTATTTACTTGTCTGTTGTTTTTAAGTTGGAATTGTGAGCTTTCAGATTTTACTGATGTACAAGTTGTCAATTGTTAGTATCAATGGGATATGAATGCTTTAGCAGTATTTTCATCCTTAGTTGCATGAGTACATAATCTTAATCAGAATTTGGACAGACATTTTGGCCTTGTGCACTGAGATGAGGCCAGTTGTAATGGTGGACTATGGAGGGAAGATGCCTGAACTGCAAGAAAGGCTTTGTGCATTCCTTAAGCATTGCAAAGAGGTAAGCAAGTTCAAAGTATAGTGATATATGTTGACTTTCTTTAACTTGAAGGGATTGAAAACTTGAAAGAATTGATTTCCACTCTAGCTTATAGTTTTCATAGTGCACAGTTCTTTGGCATGTTTGCTATATTTTATTTATTTTGTCAGTGTTGTGGTTAATTGTAATTAATTGTGGAAGATGCAAATCTCCAAGGACCAAATGGGGAATATTGGCTTCCTTCACTTATATGACAATGAACATAAGAAGTGATCCCTGAACACTATTACGATTCATATCCCAGAAAGCTGTGATGACACCTAACCTAATTTATTTCATCAGGGAAATAATGCAATACGACCCAATATGAAAGACATTAACATAAATCAGGGCATCAAATACCGTGTAATCTAATATAACCTTCCTGGTGTCACAAGTGACGAGATACTAGGAATAGGAAATAAGACATTGATATGACTAATGCACCATCTGCTTAAAATGAAAAACAGAAGTAAAGGACTCTAATCTACCATGAACTAGCTGACAACTCGACACTGTAATGCTTGTAGATCTTCAAAGCTCTCATGAATTACGCTACAACACAATCTATATCTGCACACAAAGTGCAATAAGTGTAGTATGAAGCACATAAAACAACTTAATCAAATATGCACGACTAAAGCATATACAAATAGGTACAAATATAACATATCATAGAATGCACCATCCAAGTTCAATGCATTGAATGCACCAAATTAACATATATAATGATATCCACAACTTAGTATTTATATGAAATCCGTGAACATGATAATAATGTGCATGAACAAAACTCAAGCTTCACTCAACACCAGCGCTTTATCACAGATCAATCCTGTGTGTTTACTGCGTGGGTGTTTTAGGTAATGCAGCTACTCATAAGGGACGAATTCATATCCACATGTCGCGCGAACAACTCACGTGCCATAACATAACCTGCACGGACAACTCACACTCTATATCATAAACCTGCATAAACAACCTCATGTTCCATAGCCTCATCCAGGTGTGGGAGCAGATGTGCAAATTAGAATGCATATATACAGTGTATGACTATCAGCCCAACATGTAATTCAACATACATATAGCTCTTAGTGTTAAACTAGCATAAATACAGTACCTATAACAGTATAAAAATGCTTAAAGTAGTCATGGCACTTGAAAGAACACAGCAAGCATGTATATCAACATCAACCTATACCCTGCATAACATTTACAATCCTGGTGTTCGCATATATACGCATCATCTCATATATATGGTACCTTGATACATAGTATATGTAAAAGAGTACTCCCTCCGTCCAAATTTAAGTGTCTTACTTTCCTTATTTGTCTGTCCAAAAAAAGTCTCTTTCTATATTTAGTAGGTTTTGCAATCCAACATTCTACATGGCAAGTTTTAAACCTTACACACATCTTTAATTTTGAGACCACAAACTCAACATCTCCCTTTTTTTCTTAAACTCTGTGCCTAGTTAAACGAAGACACTTAAATTGGGACGAAGGTAGTATCAACTTGGGAAATTTCCCCATTGAGGTCAAAGTCTTAAACTTATTTCAGTCCTAGGAGACTTTAACCTTCCAAATAGCTTTACCACTTTCGGATTCCATCAGACGGCTCCAATCTACTTTAAAGATCATGCAACGATGTCAAATTTAGCCGCAGAGGTGTATTTCGTAATTAAAGTCCCGATGAAAATTAAATAAACCCCAAATCCTATGGTCAAACCTTGAAATAAATTATGTGCACAGGGTATCCATAACCCTATGAGTCAAATCTATAATTAAATTTCCAATTCAAGTTCCTTTCGATGTTCAAACTATCAATTTAGTGTTCTTAGGGATTGTGTCTCAAATCCCCAATTTTACCTGTCAAAGTCTATGTTTTAATGGTTATTCTTCGAGTATAAACATGATAAAGACTCAATATATATATGACTTGTGTAGGAAACTGAAGTACCACATAATAAAAATATGCTATCTGCTATTGCTTTCAGGATTGCTCAATATTTAAGCCTTTGCATGTCATGGTTATAGAAGATATGATATACTTGGTTCACGCAAGAGCATTTGCGGAGTTTGTTAAGTCTAGTTTGAACTTGGAGACGCGACTGATTTTTGTAGACCTTGAACATGATCCTCCAAAGGTAGCTCCTTTATTGTCTTCTCTAGCATTGAACCATTTTGTTCCTATGTCCTTTCCTTCTCATGTTTCTTTACCAAGATTGATAGAGTTACTACAGATGATAACACAAGCAGAAGAAAGCTGCTTGGCTGCGGAACTTGTATTGGCACAAAAGACATTTTCGTCCATCTTTTCTGAAAATGGAATAAAGATGGATCACTTGGAACATCAGAAACCAGAAGTTAAAGCAAACACCGACTCATCTTTATATAAGCCAACTTCTTCACTGTCTTCGGATGTAATTGATCTCAGTGATTGCATTAAAGATAGTCATGTTACAGCCCCAACTCTAAATGGGTAACTCCCTTGTCTATATCAGCATGTTTATATTGCACTTGATGAGATTTTTTATTGCTTTTATGGGTTTCAAACATCTATGTAATCATTTAAACATTGTGTTCAGATATCGTATGTGTAGAAATGATTTCATTAGGGATATAATTAGGATTTTGATGTGTAATTAATCATACATTACAAAGATTGTACATATTGTAATTACTATAAATCCCAACCACGCTTCAGGGAAATAATCGAGTTTGTAAAAATCTCAATCTCTTTGTGGTGTCATAACCAGGGAGCTAGTCTCTAAAGAGTCTAAAAGTTGTTAGAAAGTGGCTTGAGTCTCACTAGGGAAAACTACTTCACTGTCAGAGCCTCATCTCCCATTCCTAGGACCTTCCAAGGCTGAGACCTCTCTAGGAAGGTCTAGGAAGGTTGCAAGGTCTCAGGCTCTCAACAATGGTTTCCCTTAAAATTTACTACTGAAATCCTTGTAATGCCTCTCCACTCGCTAAAGTCTAACACACCCGCCGGAAAGGGACCTATTACGCAGCAACCTTTTTGTCGGATCTTCTGCTTTGAATGTTGTTTTGAGTACTTACCAACTGTTACCAGTAACAATCGATTTGTCTGGTGCTAGTGAGTCCGCCAGGTCAATATCGTCCACTTATCGGGTTGCTTTCACTAACAAAATTAAACGTTGTGGTTCTCAAAATTACTGCTTTTTTTTACTCCCTCAATTGGTCTGTACTTTTGGGGCTTTAACATTTTCCTTTTCAGTCCTAGAATCAACAAGTTTTTACAACATGACAGAGAAAGGTGTCACTTTCAAACATAGGTGACATCAAACCCATATTTTCCTCCATTTCAAGTTCTCCCACTATTACCTTTGTGAATCAGGAAGGAAATTACAATTACTTATTAGGGTCTGCTTCATCTGAGTTATGGTTTATGGGTCACTGATGTGATGATCACTTAGTTAAGAGTTTAGTGAAGTTACTTATACTTAAAGGACTAAGTGGAACAGAGCCGATCGACAATTATGTAGTTTTTTGTGGATTTCTTTGCATTCTGTGTCACTTAACTTTACATGATAATATTTCTTATAAAGATGAATATTCTTTTTATTTATTGAAGATCCTACAGAAAAGAATCTAATTTGGCCTCAAAAGGTCAAAGTGACATTCAACTTATAACAGAAGGAACTATGTAGTAATTTTTAAGTTTGTTGTCTCATTTATTGTGTAGTCTTTATGAGACGATGGTATCTCCCCTAATTTATACTTCTAGTGCATCATGAATTCTGAAACCCTTGACTTTTTCACTAAACAAATTATACTGCTGTTAAAATAATGTGAAGGAGAATTGTTTCTCTACAAAATTTTAAGCTGGCTAGAAAATTGTGATACTTGAAGTTCAATTTGGAAAGAAAAGGAACTACATCAAAGATTGTCTCAGGAGGTTCCCTCATACGAGATGTTTGCAGAATGGTTCTAGATCTAAAGAAACTGTTTTTCCCTTGAAAAACTGTACTTTTGAAGGTCTGAATGGGTGTTCTAACCCTTTGCCAGCTTATGACTGGTAGATATGGCCTATGGGAAATGTGGCCAACTGATCAGGCATCTAAAGTGACTTGACTTGATAAGTAGTGTGTTTCTCCAGCCTCTAAGGCTTTGATCTTGTGGTAAGAGTGCTATGTGTGTTGGTTAGGCACATATCAGGGTTTGAATCATACTGTAAACAAAAGCTTGATATTAAAGTGGAGAATGGTGGAGGGATGAACCCATTATCCATTGAGTTCCAAAACCGTGCGTGGCTTCGAAGATTTCTTGGTTATAAAGAAGGAATATCATGTTTCACAGTTTTGCAACTAGCCTATTAGATGCAACATGTCCTGTAAATTGGGCAAATTTCTTTTGGATATTTAAAGTTGACTGTCTAGCATGCAAATCTTCAGAATGACAGGTAGTAATTATTATTTTCCTAAGAACCTTCTGCCATCATCTTATGGTTTTCATGTATTCGATCTTGCTGCAGATGGTTGCTTGGTTATCCTATAGTTTACCTTTTTGGGATGGCTCATATTGAAAATGCCATATATAACCTCTCTACCAAGTCTCTGAATCTTTTCCAAGTCCTTGTTTGCAGGTTAGTTGATTTCTTTATCCACATTTCATGATAATTTTCGTCATCTAATTTTAACTGTTTAAACCAGAATTATAGAGGATAGCATCACCGATCACAACTAGTTTGGAATTGAGGCTTATGTGTTGATTGAAGTTAGTCACTGCAACTTGTTTATGGAGGATGCATTTTATTTTTGAAATGACCTGAAATAATTGATTGTTGACTTTTATGACCCTCTGGCCATCTTTCCTGCATCAATTTGACAACATCAGTGTCAAACCTTTGGTCTTCTGAATTCTTATGAATATTTAGTTTTCATTAGATTTAGAAAGGGTTAGCAGTCTTCTGATTCTCAACTTCAAAATTTTACAGGAGTGCCAGATGCAATAAAGGATCTCAGGCTCAAAAAGAGGAACTAATGAGGTAGGGTTCCCAATTGTGTGATGCTAGATAACAGTCTCTTTTCTTTCCATCTTCTATAACTCCTCCTTTGATGCAAGTGTCCATCTTGATGTTTCCTTCTTTTTCTCAGTTCTGTGTTCTTGAGAACTTACCAAAAGCTTTTTCGGCCTCTCTTTTCCCTTTTTATTGTTCTTGGGGAAGTGCTTCTCAGATTGCAGCAACAATGTAATAGTGCAGGAGCATGTTTCCCTATTTTGTCTGGTTAAGACAATAAGAAAACAGAAATATAGACAGCTAATAAATATTTTTGTTTTTAAGGTCACTATATTTTTCCAAAGGTGCATATGATACAGTTCAGCATTTGTTATCTGAATCACCACGTTATGTCTGAATAAGTCAGATGTGAAAAGGAATGATTCCGTACTAACTGCATCATAGTATGATAGATTCCTATTACTAGCTGTCTATTTTTCTGTTTTCGTATTGTTCCTCTTTTGGAGGAGTGAGGTGGAGTTACGCTCTGAATCTGCATTTTTGGACCTTATTTTGTTTCTTTCAGTTTAGGCCCAAAATGGTAGCTGAAATGAGATGCTATGTATCCAATGCCAAAGCGAAAGTGACACTACTGCTGCTTTTCCTTCTCTTCTTGATTTTATGCTTTGTGCAACTTTTGACCAGTGATGCAGCCATTGTGCTCTAAGGGACAACTTGAATTATGTAAATACCTCAAATATTCACCAAATAAAATGAAGCGGCCTCTCAGTATCCTGAATACCACCTAAAATATGACCTTTGCATCTTATAAGTTATAAAGGATCGGTTTCTGACCTTACCAGTATACACCTGGTTCAAGCGTATGTTCCAGATAGATAGTGAAGTAATGAAGCCACATAAGTTTCTTTCAGGTATGCTTCTAAGAGTTTATGTTTGGATAGAGGCTTCCCTCTTTTGTCATTTATCGCTCTCTTCCTACTCCATACCTAGTGGTTATGTTTGACTAGAGGCTTCCTGCTCTTGGCCTATTTCATCTTTTAACTTTCCATCTTCATATCTGCTTGCTGCTTTAGATGTCTTTAAAGATTGTCATAAGCGTTAAGTAGATCATTGTTTTCATTCGAGTATCAACCGTTTCTATACTTTACACAGTTGATTACATTTCATACATTAAACATTTGGACTTGACTAACTCGTTCTTTTAATCTTGGTTTATACTTAACGTTAGCTTTAGTTTTCTTACGGCGCTAGACTTTTTCTATGTCAGTTTCTCTGTGCCATATGACTTGAGCTTGGAGGGAATGGATGAACCATGGGTAGAGACATTTTTGACTCGCATAAAGGCAAAGCAAGAAAGATGCAACCAAATTTGGACATCCCTACAGATGGAGGTTAACTCTTGTTATCCACAAGCAATCGCGTTATAGTAAGTTGCTGCATTGTGCTTAGCCTCTAGGTATTTGATTTGAACAGTATTGCATAATGTTTTTATCAGCCATTTTCCATCAAACATGGTATCAGAAAAATATCAGCTTTAAGTCACAGTTATCTTCTTTAATATCTTTTTTAAACTGGTTTCTTTAATATCTATATTATAAGCCAAAGGTTTTGGCTTCTTTTGTGCAATGACTAGTTTCTCCATGTATAATTCTTTGATTGGAAAGTTACATTTTTATGTTTTTAAGCCTTTTTTTAAGAATGAGATGAGAAAGATAAGCTGACAAAGAAATAGTAATACGGTATCAGTTTTATATTTAATCTTATTGGGAAAGAATTCTGCTTCATCTCCTTTAATTGTCTTCTTTTGTGGTGCTGATTTTGTTTTGTGCTATAAATGGAAGTATTCGAACAGGGCCGCCACAAGCAATTGCGTAAAAACTGTGCACTCAAGCATTCACCCGTAATTTTAGACGGTAGATGCATCTGATTAGTAACTAAATGGGAATTCCTGTGAGGGTGTGTAGGGGCTGATATAGCGTATCGGAGGAGTTGCCTTTTAAACATGGGACAGGGTATCGGAGGAGTTGCAGATTTCATTTCTTTCTCTTGAGCTTGTCTGCTCTGTGTTCTCATAGGCGCGCTTAAGCCCTAAAGCAAGGCTCAAAACATGTTGAGCTCTTTGCCTTATTTTATGTGCGCTTCAGTATTGTCATCAAGGTTCTAAGATAAACATTTTCTTTCCAATGAGCCTCTTATGAAGCTTCGGACTTGGACTAAACATACATATATATTTGTATTCTTTTCTCTCTTTACGCCTTTTTTCATTAAAGCCCAGCTTTATTTGCGCTTAAAGCCCCCATGGACCTTAAAGTTTTTTTGCGCTTTTTACCTTTGATAACACTTTGGTCTACTTTCATTCACAACTTTAGCTCCATCTTTAGCTTTATAACTCTATGAAAGCTAACAAGTTTGCATTTCTAGACTAAGCAAATAGGCAAAGTAGTTAAAGATAGGATACACCGTTTAAATAAAGAGATACAATGTTCATTCTTTAAAGGGAAGAGTTATGGCTTTACAAATAAAATTGTTGTTGTGGAATGATAGATTACTAATTGTGTAGGAAGTGGAGAAAATTGTACCACCTATATATATATACCACAAGCTCAGAAACAACTATGGAAAAATCCCTAGGGAATTATTCACAGAAGAGAACATGCTATTACTAAGAGAAGGGGAAAAGCGGATGAAAGACACTGCAAATTATGATTGTTCCAACTTTGATTGCCACGATGGTGTTTGTTGTTGTCTTCACTGTGCCAGGTGGTAATAACGGTGATGATGGTATTCCAATATTGCTAAAATTGAATGGATTTACGGCTTTTGACATGCCCAAGCAAGCTCATTGCTTCTTGTATTGGTGTTCCTGCATCTGAAATAACAAAAGGCAGTAAATCTGTCTAACTTTAGCAATATTAGAATACCATTATCACCGTTATTACCATCTCACACAGTGAAGCCAGCAACAAACATCATCGTGGCAATCAAAGTTGCAACAATCATACAAGAATTTGCAGTGTATTTCATCCACCTTTCTCCTTCTTTTGGTAAAAGCTTGTTCTCTTTTGTGAATAATTCCATAGGGATTTCCCTATCGTTGTTTCTGACCTTGTGGAGGGGAGATGGTACAAGTTTACGTGGAATGCTCGTGGCCATGGAAATCGCGCTAAATAACTTTCTTCACACCGGAGAATATGGTCCTTCAAAGACATTTACCTTGTCTAGAAAGAGATAGTTGTGAACTTACTAACAAATAGTACAAGATTGGAAAATGGATTTTCAATATCTCTTTCTTATTCATTATGTTTGCAATATCATGAGAAGGCTAGCTCTCCATATATACTATGTTTATTTATATTCTTGACATTGAAGTAAGAATTTTGTTATTCTTTATTCCAATATAGTTTAGTTTATTAGTAGTTATATAAATGGTTGTGTCTCCTTTATTTCCAACCACCCAAATAAGATAAGAAAAAGTATAGTTGATTATTAATTAATTAATTAATAGAAAGAAGATATTCTAGAATACTCTCAATGCTATATTAATATCCTTGCAGTTCTTTCTTCATATGTAAGTAAGGAATATGCACCTTTAATTCCTTATTTTATTTGGTAGAGTCGGATTACTTTCTTTTACATTTTTATTTAAGAAAAAAGATTTAAATATGTGATTATATTTTGAGAAATGCTTATTTATTTCATTTTTGTGAGAGTAAAGGTTTATTCATGCCATTATTTGTTACTTGAAGTGATATTGATGAATCAAACTTTTAATGAATAAGATAGAAGAGTTAAGTTTCATGATATATTTGAGCATTTTATTTTTAAACAATAACTTAATTAATTATGTGGCTCAATCATAATAAATCACGTGTAAAAAATGATTTAGTAAATTGAAATTGTTTTCAGTTAACAAATAATGACATGAGTGAGTTTTTTATCAAACGAAAATGGCATAGATGAATCAAATTTTTAATGAATAACATAAATGAAATTTTTCTCAAAGTTTGATGAGGCATTTAATTTTCTTATTCCTTTATTTTGACCTGAATGATGTATTTTTACAAGTATCATTAGTATCTATTTAAGAATTTGTACAAAGATGACAATTCACCCTACATCTTGTTTCACCGGTCACAACCTATAACTATCACCATCATTAATCACCAGTGTCTGTCATCCACACAATCATCATTCTCGGCTCGACCACAATCACCACAATTGTCAATCACCAAGATAAATCATCATCATTAATCATTTGCAATCATTACTATTAACTATTGGTATATTCGTTAATCATTATTGTTAACTATTATCATCAGTTAATATTATATATCACTAAACACCATTGTCATTCACTATGTCATCAACTATTAGTATCATCACACTATTAATTATTAATCGGCACTAACAATTACAATTAATCACTATTGTCAATCATTATATCATAAGATACTAAGTCGGGTGGACCATTCCATCAAACAATCATCATCGTTAGTCAAACACACTCCCAAATCGACACACATACAATCACCATCTCCAATTGCAATATGAAAATTTTAAAATATTTTATTGATATAATATTATATCAATTTAGTACTTTATTTAAATTATAAATTTACTATTATTAAAATAAAAATAAATGTATGCATTCAGAAGTTGATAAATTAAACAATCTTACCTTTTAGGGGTCATTTGGTAGAGTGTATAAAAATAATACTAAATAGAGTGTCTTAGAGATGCTTATTGGCAAAGCATGTATTAGTTATGCTAGTATTAATTATACATAGATTATTTTTTAATGTATTGTTAGGCTTGATGCATTAAAAATAACATGCATTATATTAAAAAATTATTTACAAAGATATCCTCCACTGTTATGGTGGTTAAGTAGTGATAACAATGGTGTGGGGCCACAGCAGGACAGGTTGAGCTTAAACCGCAAAATTTTTAATCTGTCTCATCCCGCCTCACATAATATTTTTTTGTCATTTTCAACCTCTTCCCACCCCGCCCCGCATGTATATAGCCGCTCCACATGAACCCGTCCCGCATAATTTTTTAATATTTTCTTTTTCTAGTTAAGTTTGATACTAGAAACAAATTCATAAAATAAAAACTCATAAACTAAATACATTTTTTCGTTAAGTTGTATTAATTTGATAGGAGAGTAGCTTAATTTTTTTTTTAGAAGTCAATTGGAAAACATGTAAGAAATTGTATTATTTTTTATTGAACTATTTTCATTTACTATCTTGAATATTTATGTAGCTTTAAAGAAATTATCTTAATTAATAATGATCTATCACTCTTATAACATACAAAAATAATTAAATTAAGTTTGACCCTATATAAAATCACATATACCCGCTCCCTGCCCCGCATAAGTTTTAAAAATCTCGCGTTCAACCTTAAATCCGACCCCCCTCCCCCCATTAGCCCTAAACCCGCCCCACCTTGCTATATTGTCATTCCTATGAAAAAGATGTAATATATGTTTTGAGGGGCAATTGAGTCTTTTATATGATAAGATTCAAGCATATTAATCTTAATAAAAGCATTTTAATATTTAGTTATTTATTAAAAATTCAAATGTATTAATCTTAATAAAAACAAATAAGGTCTTTTTTTAAATTTAACACTAGAGCCGTCAATATGGGCTAAGCCCGTTGGGCCGGCCTGACCTAGCCCGAGATTTAATAGGGTTGAGCTAAGATTTTTAAAGCCCATTTAAGAAAAAGGCTTTTTAGCCCGGCCTGAATAAGTCTGATGATTTGATGGGCTTGAGAAATATCGGTAGGGCCGGCCCCGTGGGCCAATAGTAATTAATTAAAAAATATAATATAATATTAAATTTTAAAATTAAAGAGAGTCCAAATTCAAAATAATTAGGTTAATATTTTTTATTTATATATTTATACTCTTACTTGAAAAAAAAACTTAATAAATAGAGATAATTTCAGAGACCTCCCTCCAGGCTTCTCTCTATAACACTCACCTTTCCTGTGGTTTACGATATTACGTCTACCTCCCTTATTTTCAATTTCTTGTAACTATTCTTTAAATCTATTTAAATAAATATAAATAATTTAGATTTGACAAATTTACCCTTATATATGAATGTTTAGATCTAATTTTCAATGTTTTATCTTTATTCGTTGGATCATGTTTCTTCTTCACATGTGTAAATGTTTAACTAGAACAAAATTTTGTCTTCTATATTGTTGCCGGAAAATGATGGATTATTGTGGGAAATTTTTTTACGTGAATTGGTAAAGGTGAAATAGAGATAAAGAGTTAATACGTGGTGAAAATGTGGGTCAACTTAGTTGAAGACTTTGATATTTTTTTAATTAAAATAAACAAATCTTTATGTTAATTTGTTTTTAAAGTATTTGTTAAATGAGTTATTTTTTATATAATATTTATTAATAAGAAGAAATTTATATAAAAAGAGTAAATTGTCAAATCTATATTAATTTATATTTATTTTAAATAGTTTTAAAGAATTGTTACAAGTAAATGAAAATAAGGGAGGTAGACGTAATATCGTAAATCAAAGGGGAGCTGAGTGTTATAGAGCAAAACATGGAGGTCTCTGAAATTATCCATAATAATTATTATAAAAATAATTTTATTTTGATTTGATTAACAAGTACTAACATTAACATTATGTAATAGTGTTTTGTCGATATTTATGATAATATTTTAAATTATAATTTAAAATTTATTTTAATAATTATAAAAAAATATAATTTTTATAAAAAAGTGGACTAGCCCGTCAAGCCTATAGCCCACGTACTTGTGGGTTAGACCGACCATTTTTTGGCCCACGCCACAAATGAGCCAGTTCGGTCTGACCCGTAAAATGTCAAAGTCTGTATGGATTAGCCTGACTGGAGTGGCCTAGCCCATATTGACAGCTCTATTTAACACCGTCTTGATGAACAAAAATTATAAGATAGAACTTGGCATACCAAACTGATTACATGTGCATAGAGTAGAGACAAAACAAAGTTAATTAGCTACAGTCAGTCACTGTCCCATGATGTTTGCTTAGGGGTTTAAAGTATAAAGAAGAATTGTTATGATGTTTGCTTAGGGGTTTAAAGTATAAAGAAGAATTGCGGGGGGAAATGCAAGTGCGTGGTAAGCATAGTAGCCCCTTGACATGCTTTTTATACGAGAATCTTAGATATTTTATTGATTTATAAAAATAAAGATTAATTTTATTAAAGATATCGAGGACAAATATATATGATAGTGGATCGACTGTATTGCATAAGTTAGTTCTTAAAACACGTAAAAATGAAAAGATGAATGTTATGACCCGATTTCGAAATTCAGATTTCAAAGAATTTAAATTATTTGAAAATCGTACTTTGAAAAATCTTATTTGAAATCCTCTTTTGAGTTGCTGTTTGTTACTTGGGTTTTAACCCAATAATACAAAAAAGAAATTTTGGGCCACGAAAATAGCCATTCTTTTGATCCAAATGGATCTTGGTCGAAGGATCTGGTCTTTTTATCATATCTTAAATAAATTGAAAGCAAAATAAATTAGACAATTCAATTAACTATTAAGTTTATTAGTTTTAACAAGTGTAAATTAGGTATATAGCATTTTTTATAGTAATATTCTCAAGATATAGCATTCGAGTTTGTATTTCAATATATTACATTTAATATCTCAAGTTATAACATATTATTATAAACTATAATGTTAATTTGAAATAATTCAAAAAAAATGAAAAAAAAACTGACAAAAATATAAATGGAAAATGACATCCTTTATTAATTAAATTAAATACAATTATTAATTGGTGTTAATTGATTAACACGTTTTAAGAAAATTAAAAAAATATTCGAATTAGTTAGTTGCCTTAAATCTCTCAAATTAGTTTAAATGAGAATAAATTTTGATTTAATACCTTAAAAAGCTCTAACAAATTGACATCAACATACAGACTGTTTTTCTTTCTTTCCAATTTTCACTATTCTTTCAGATTTGCAGCAGATATCAGTTCGCTTTTTTTTTTAGTAATTGAAAAAATTTTGACGTTGGAAAAAATTGATTTGATATGATGGAGAACATTGTGTCGATATTAATTAAACGTGATGGAAGGTGAAATTCATCAGGTTGATTTTAATTATGATTTGTTGGTTTTGATTATGATTCGTTGGGTTTAACATGGAGAACATTGTGTCAATTTTTTTTTTGTTATTTTAAGATCTGGTATAGATTATAGCTTGTTTTTTTTTGATGAAACAGTGTTATGGTATATATACCGTATCTGAAAAAATAACATGTAAAATGTATATGTGTTTGAGTTTTAATAAAATTGAAAATTCGCGTAATACTTGATTTATG